TAACGATTAGAACTGAAACGTCTAGCACTTTCGATAGTCACTGTTCCGAACCAAGAAATGCAGTCAGAAAACATTCCAAAAATTTACGTAAGTTAAGTGGTCGGTTTCTAAACGTAAGTCAGGATTACGTACGTTTCGGACGTTTCTCCTCGAGTTAAGTACAAATTTGTGGATTTCTGGGCAACGGCATTATATCCACTGTAACGATTAAAAGAATAATCCTGCGAGAGTCTGAATGAAGACTTGGTTTTCTCGATCTTTGTACGAGAAAATAGTTAACCTTAAAGTTTCCTCCAGGTTTTTTTAAAAATCAGTTTCCTGAGCAATGATATTATTCACTGTTCGAAAAAATTGGAGTGAATCGCATTGTTAAATTTTTGTGAAAGTTTTATTTCATTTCTGTCTTTTTTCTACCTCTGACCGTGTGGGACAATTGTAGAGAGGTGAGGTGGCCGATAAAATCCTTATAATACTTGTTTTCTATCCGTGCCCCTTTCTTAATATACAGGATTAAATAGAATAGATAAATAAATAAATCGCAGGTACAGTAGTATATAAGTTGCTTTTTATTACAGAAAAGTGAAAACTCAAGAGAAAATAATTCTTTATATTTACATTAGTATACTCCTGTTAAGAGGCTTTTACTGAAAACTATCATAGCCCTGGCGTGGACGGGTTTAGCCTTGTTGCATCCCTATAGAGCTAGGCCAGCACATTAGAGAGATTAAGCTGATTCACGTTTACGCCAAACGGCAGGCGTGAATTCGTACCACTTGACCAAGTTTTCCCTTTATTTTCCCTTTACTCTTTATTGCTTCTACACAAAAATAAGTAGTCTTATGCGAATTTTAACCATAGGTATCGTTGGGGACTGTTTTTATCTGCTCATTTTCTATTCTGAGAAATTCTCAACTTGAGTCTGACGTTTGTCAGAATTGAATCTTAATCTCTCTGTTGCATTTTTCCATCTTCCCTGGGAGCCTGCTCAAAGGCAACATATTTTTCCAGAAAGCCTTTTAAATGAAGAAAGGGGTAACGTTTTTATTTTGATCTTTAAATAGGCGAATTTAACAGCAAACTGCTCTCTACGATTTTTTATGAGCTAATCTTACCATGAAGAGTTTTAGTTAAGAGAAAACTAAAAATTGGAGCAGCCTCAGCGGCCACCAACACAGCAGACTATGGAATTTAATAAGGCCGCGCGCCACAGTGCGATTGGTGATTCCCGTAAAATAAATCAGTAGCCTGCGAGAACAGCCCCCGACCCCGAGACGTTTTCAAAAGTCCCTAGTGGCGGGGAGCGGGGAAAGACGACTGTTTTCGCAGGCTGGTATTTAAAATCAGCTGATCATGAACAGCGAAACTACTTTGATTTGATTATATGCTAAGGAAAACTAGGAAGGAGACTCTCTTGCGTCACCCTATCCCTACCACCCCTACCCTCCTACCATCGCCAGCCGATCTGACTTGTTTCTGAATTTATTCAACGGTTTTATTCTGTGAAATCGATCCTTACGCTGAATTGAACGTGCCCGTTTAGCAATATAAAAAGGTTTAGAAGTCAGGGGATACACTTTGAACAACGTACTCCTTATCTAAATGGAAAACAGAATTTCTGACTGAAAATTGACCTCTGAAAACATAACGTTTGAATTGTTGTGGTCTTCCCTATCTAAGGACGAAAATGTAAATGTAACACTGGCCTCTTTCACAATATCCTCTGTACCGAGCAAGCTACCTTCTCTCCCAGACCGTAGACCTGGTGATATCAATGCTGAACTCCCTATTGTAGGGTTGCACTAGACCTTTTCCCAAATTAAAATCTCCGGTTGGGGAAATAGCTTTGGATTACTTTGCTCTTGGTTTTGAGCACTTCATTTTTGAGGTAACACGCCGACAAAATTGCCCAAGAGTAAAGATACTTGCAACACTGACTGAGTCGTCGTTTACGATAATTTTTTTTGCCAGAATAAAACCTCCCCATCAATCACCCTTAGCAATAGCCAGGGTTCATACAAAAAATTGCAACCATTTTTCAAGGACTTTTCAAGGACCACATTAGATTTTCAAGGACAACCTACTAGGAATATAATTTCACAGATTGTACAAAAATGCATATTCCCAGTATATTCTAATAAGACTTTAAGGCTTTAACTGTTTGCTTCACCAAATTCTCTACACTTTTCAGTTCACTTGTCTTAAACTGATAGTTAATTATTGCATAAAACATGGAGCACTTTATGTAAATGACCTTTACATTCACTGAGCTACGATTTATATTCTGTCTTGGACAACCAAAAAGCATAAAAAAATTCTTTCCAGGCTACTACATTCAAAGTTGAAGAAAATTCAAGCTCTTTTCAAGGACTTGCACAGAAATTTAAGGACTTTTCAAGGAAAAATGGAATTCAAGGACTTTTCAAGGACTTCCCCTAAAATTCAAGGACTTTTCAAGACTGTGCGAACCCTGAATAGCTATCCAGGACTTAATTTTCAGCCACAAAGAAAACTTCGACTTCATTTGCGCTTAAAAAAAAAAGCAAAAAAATTGTTGCTCGCCAGTCGAAGTACGTGTCCCCAAAATCGGTTCCGATGACCTATTAAGGAATGACGTCTTGAACACTTGCGTTAGGACATTCCTAAGTGCTTCTGATTTTATTAAGCGTAAAAAAAAAACATTCATAGCAGCACCCGAAATCCTGTTTTGTTTCCCAAACTTTTAAAATTCCAATAGTGCGTAGGATTTGGCACCAACTATGTGGGGACTACAGGTAGTTCTTTTGTTCTTTTTGATGATGATGATGATGATGATGATGATGATGATGATGATGATGATGATGATGACTATGTTTATAATAAAAATATAAACACAAGCAAATACTGAATGAAGAAGTAAATACTGTAACAATAAAATTGTAAAAAAGGGTTGTAAAAAGCCTCTAAACTGAGAACAAAAATTCAGGAAACTGACCAGTGGCATCACTTGTACCGTTACAGTCTAGCTTGCCTCCAATTTTCGAAAATGTAAATGTAACACCCGACATCTCCACAGTATCGAATCCCATTTGTCCTCTTTGAGAGGCAGGACCACTTATAAAAGTACCGTGTAGTGAAACTGATTAAAAAAATAAAACAGTCAGGAAAAAAAAACAACAACAAAAAGAAACAGGGATAAAACTATAAAGCAAAGTACTGTCTTGTATTTTGAGTCAAGTCTTTACGCGCTAAAGAAATCTAAGAAGGACATTCTCTTGCGTCCCCTATTCCCTGTACCCCTTACTCTCTGCAAGCCGATCTGACTTCAGTTTCTGAATACGATTTCTGCGGAGTTTCTATTCTGTGCAGTCGATCCTTACACTGAACGTGTCCGTTTCGAAATATTGTACAACTATCCCCCGAAGGGGAGGTGAATAATGAAGCGAAGCGTCGAGGTATATGTATATCTAGCCTTGTTTACCCACCCTGAGGCCTTATTATTTACCAAATCAGTTGGATAAAAATGAAAAAAGTAACTTTTTGCAAATTAAAAACGTCACTTAGTAGGAAGTTTATTTACAATTTACAAACATTTCGGGGACTTTGTCAAGCGCATTTTACGATTTTGTTGCAAATTCTGCATGAAAATAATTTAGTCCAGTACCTCACATTAACATCCAATTTCAGTGGTGGACTAAAACAATATTGCCTTTTGTTTTCAGGGATAGGGGCATTGTTAGCCTTGTTATGTCACCGTTTCTATTGTTTTCACAGCCAATTGTATGAGCCGTTCAGTGAGGTGCTGGGGGGTGCTGCTTGACTGAATAATTTTCTACCTACCAGTAAACACTTACATGTAAGATAGTCGCCTTCTTAGTATTTGCTTGTAAGACTGCTTCATCTATCGCTCAAATTTCGTCTTCCGAAAATGCCTCGAAGCGAGACGCCATCTTGGCTCCGGTCGTAAGTTACGGGAGCCAATCAAAACGGGCGAAAAGTGCTATTCACTGATTTGGTAAACACTAAAAACTAAAAGTAAGCCCACTGAGTCCACATATGGTTAACTGGTATATTAGTTTCCTGTCTGATAGAAAGCAAAGGCTGGTATACAACGGTACGGTGTGTGATTGGATGATGACCAGTAAAGGAACAACGCAAGGTAGTGTGAGTAGACCTCATCTCTTCAATTTGTTTTTGTACGATGATCTGGAAACCGACAGCAACCTCGACGATGTATCGATGGTTAAGTACGCGGACAGCGATTTCACTATACTGGTTACCGTGAACGAAAGTTTGGACAACTCTGAGAGAGCGCAATTTGCACAATTTATGGTTTGGACCAACAATAATAGCGAATGAAATGTAATACGGCTAAATGTAAGGAGCTAGTAATTAGAAAGAAATGTAACAATTCAATATACCCGGAAATGTTTAATATTTAGCAATATAATCGTGTAACTTTACTAGGTGTAACTTTCCAATCCAACTGTAAATTTTCCGAACATGTTAAGGCCAATTTATGCGAGGCTAAAAAATGCTTGTTTTTAATAAGGGGATTAAGGAAAGAGGGCTATGGGCAGAAAGATGTTTACCTTCCATTTAAATCAATTGTGCTGACATATGGACTCTCGTTTTATGGTGCTAGCAAGGCTGACCTTGTTGTTATGGATTGCTTTCTAAAGAGATGCCATTAAAGACGCTACACCTCAGACAAATTAAGTATTTATGATCTTTTGGAATAATCTGCCAGAAAGCTCTATGATAAAATTAGAGAGGACGAAACGCCATCCGTTATACTCTATCTCAGTACCGACTGTAAAGGGATGTGCTCAAAGGCTTCGAAGAAAGACATTTTAGCTACCTGTAGCTAAAACCGAACGTTTCATAAACTGTTTTGTGAACAGGCTATGCTTTAATTCTAAATTAAGAATATGATATTACTTTAATTGTAATTTTTAATTTACATTATGTTTTAAGACTTTTATAACTTTCGATAGGTATTTTATCGGTTGAATAAAGATTATTATGGGTAAATATTATTATTAAAAGGGGTTAGACGTTTTGGATCTACCATGTTCACTGTATACACCTTATCTAAATGGAAAACAGGATTTCTGGAAATTGACCTCCGTTAACACCTGTACCATTGCTGTCTGCCCTATCCACGGAAGAAAAAGTAAACGTAACAACGGACTCTTTCACAGTATCCACGATCCTACCCAGCCCGTTACATCCTCTTCCAGACTGAGGACCTGATATCAACGCTTCAATGTGATACCTTGTGTTGCTTTTTAACACAGCTACAGAGTCGAACATAACTTCAAATCCATGATAACGAAAGTTTTTATTGTGCAAAAGTTTTGAAGAATATCTTCCAGATTTCGATACTACTGTTGTACCTCGATCAGAAGAGGCAACTTTCAGTGTTACTTTGTATCTGTTATTTTCACTGCCAAATAAGCGGAGTCCATGTAATGTAATGTTTTTGTCTACAGAAAAACAGAGTAAATCACTGCGCTCTCCAGGGCAATTCCACGAAGTCGGAGTACATGAGGTAAACCTGCAGCTGCTTGCGCAATCTGCAGCATGGGTCAATTTCCCCCGTGGAGTATTAGAAAACGCAGCAGGGCTGGGAGAGGTTGGTACCGTAAAGTATTTAAACAAGGTGACTATTTCATCTGAAGTTAGAATGTTCGTATCAAGGACGTTGACAGCAAACTCCTCTCCCGTCATAACCGGGAAGCGCAAGGCTTTTATCATTTCTTCGCCGAGGATTCGTCTTTTAATTGGACCTTCTTCTGCCAAACCTTGCTTTTCGCATTGTGTTGTTGCCCATCGATCTACAGCTTGAAACAAGGTGACCTCTTTGATCGACAAAATGTCTCTGGCAACAACTTCTTCAAGTAAGGATCTCTCAATTGTCTCAAATCCTTCCGCTTTTACAGCCGCTTCTGTATGATTCTCAATCACCCTCCAGCATAGATCCACCAGGGCTTTTTCTTCATATTTCTGCGCAAATGGCAGGATGCTGAAAACATTCGAAGGATCCATCTTTTCTTTCAGATATTCTACGCATTTGTTAGTGAGTGAAGGCACAATGTATTTCTTGGCCAAGTATAAGACTCCCATTACATTACTTCCGCTTAAATTCACTTCATCGCTGTACATGTAACGAAACAACTCTAATAGACTCTCGTTATCACAGTCAGGCAGTTCAATAGTGTCTTTAGTCTCCGCCAGTTCACCGTAAAACATGGCTTCAAACACAGGACTGCCAATCGCCAGTATGAATTTGTGAGCTGGAATCACTTGCTTACTTTCGCTTTTTGTAGCAACAAACTTGACATCGCTCAATCGATCGTTGTTGAGCATAAACTTGCCTCTTTCTCTGATAGTGGGTCTTGTCGTTTGCCAGTTTGTTTCGGTAGACATTTTTGTTTAGTCAAACTGTGGTAAGAAGTAAAAAAATCTCGCCCTTTTAGTAACTTTTACACCCTAGCATGAGTTGAGCAACAAATGATAGCCGCACACGCGCAATATCAACGCATGTTAAATGCGTCACGCGATATGTGGTCACGAAACCTTCATAAGGCAGCCTGGGCTCACACACGACCAGCACTGTAACAGTGATTGTCATTACGAAGCCATCGTTTTCCATTTCGGGCGTCGCAGGGACCGCGGAGGGGGAGGGGCTATAGCCCTACCACTTTTATTGCTGGGATTTATTTCATAGGACTCCAGCTCATATGGAAAAAATTTCCGTGGAATTATTGCTGGTTTTCAGTGTCACGCCATTCAAAATAGATCAAAATAAAAATCAAAACCGTTCAATAGATAAAGTCCGGAATCTGGGAAATGAAAGGAGGTACATATACAAAGACCCTGGCCAAGATTCAGGTCAGATGAATATTTCGTATACGAGATATCCGAAGAAAAGTTTTACGCAAACTTATAGAGATTTGTATGGAGACGCCATGCTGGTGCTCACCTGGATGAGCTCCAACATGGCGGACGGAAACCAACAGAAACATCTGTTAGCGAGTTTTGCTACAAGAGCTTGAATTTATTCTTCGAGAAACTCATAAACATTAAAGTAATACTTTTTCTAATACACGAACTGTTTAGATAGCAAAATTTCCTGAAATAAGTCGTTTTTTTAAACTACACGACAGCTCTCTTGGCCGTCATGTAGATGCCGCGTCACGCAAAAGCTTAGAAATTTAAGCGTACTCTATCACAAAACCATGAGTCCTTTTGAAGCGAAAATTTGTATGAAAATTAGTTTTCAGCTGCTCTAATACATCGTGAAAGTAAAATCTCGGTAGGATCGATAGTATTTTGGTTTCAATTTTAGTGACGTCATGTGAAAACCAACAATTGGACTTTGCCCGATGGAAGAGTGGCCATGTTTGCTCTTGTCCGAACGATTACAACCGGATGTGCGTGCAAGGAAAATAAGATATAAGGCCCTAATAGAGTGATTTGACTTTTTCTCTGCTTTGCATCTTGGAGAGCACCTTTATT